AGCAGAGCATTCCCGGGATGTGAAACCCACATGTGGGGCCGGGAGAGTTAGCTCTTCACACAAGTTTCTTCTGCAGCTGACTGTGGAGTAGAGTATGCACAGGTTTAGTTATATGCAGGTGGTCCTGGAACCATTCCCTGAGTATACCAAGGGATAACTATAATTAAAATCATGACCTGTGAGGAAAGCAGTACAATGCATTTCCAGCATCTGACTTTGAGGGGTGACTGGGCATTTGAACCAGAAATGGACAGATGAGCCATATTTGTTGGCCTTTGTCAATACCCCATCTTCGAATTATGGATTTTGTCAATGGAAGGCTGGCCACCCTGTATGAATAGAAGGCTGGGGACTATGAGGATGATGGTGGCACAGTTTTTGTTTGTGTTGACTTAGTAGTGTAACTGGAAAAACCTGTCAGAACTTTCTGTAGGTAATAGGCTCCAGGGGATGCATTCTGTCACTAAGAAACCTCTAAACTGAGAGTCAGGCAAAGATTGGCCACTGAAGCTAACTATCTATTAATAAGTTGGGCTTTGTTTCAGAATCTAAGAGTAGTTAATATTGGGATATTTATTTGATGGGTTTTGGTCTATTTTTTTGAGACAGAGTCTCGTTCTGTCGCTCAGCCTGTAGTACAGTGGCGCCATCTCAGCTCAGTGTAACCTCTGCCTCCCAGGTTCAAGTGATTATCCTGCCTCAGCCTCCCAAGTAGCTGGGGTTTCGGCATGTTGACCAGGCTGGACTTGAAATCCTGACCTCAGGTAATCGAGCCACTGCACTTGGCCAACATTGGTTTGTATGATAACGGTTACATGGTCCTCTTTAGAGTGAATGCATCAAGGCCACTTTACTAAAGAAAGACAAGTAAGTGTTACAGAATAAGCTCATACTATGAGGTTTGCTCTTCTGAAAGACTTTTTTGTTGTTGTTTTTTGGGTTTGTTTTTTTTTTAAGACAGGTTCTTGCTCTGTCACGGAGGCTGGAGTACAGTGGTGCGGTCACAGCTCGATGCAGGCTTAGCCTCCTGGGCACAAGTGATCCTCCCACCTCCGCCTCCCCAGTAGCTGTGACTACAGGTACATGCCACCACACCCGGCTAATTTTTGTGGTTTTTGCAGAGACAGGGTTTTGCCATGTTGCCCAGGCTGGTCTTGAACTCCTGAGCTCAAGTGATCCATCTGCCTCAGCCTCCCAAAGTGCTGGAATTACAGGCATCAGGCACTGTGCCTGGCTCAGACTTTGCTTTTAAAAACCTTAACATTTTTAAGGAAGGACCCACCAAATACCCATAACTATTTCATAAACAAATTACAATAATAAGATTGTGCTTTTGTATTCCTCTTTTCTTAAATGTTAGATTCTTTACATATCTCTTTAACTTAGTTAGCCCAAATAGATTAAATGGCGACTTCTGCGTAATTTGGTAAGAGTCCCATGAAGGGTTGTAGAATAAGCAGTGGATTAGAGTTGGGATACCCAATGTTACCTTTGACTCTTGTAGACACTAGCTGTGGGACCTTGCATTAAGTCTTCATATATAAAATTAGGTTACTGATAAACTAATTCTTGCAGGTTTATTATGAGGATTTATTTAGACAATGAATCTAAAACCTCTGGCTCAGTAACTGATAGTGCTGTAATCTGGTAGGCTCTCATTTCTTCATCCTTGCAATTAGGGACCTGGGTGGATGGGCGGGCAGTCTCCATGGTCCTTCCCCACTCCACACCCTGTGGTTATGGCCCTGGATGTGGGTGTCCCAACCCCTTACCACATGCCCTTATAGAAGCTTAATATCTGTGTCCAGATTTTAACCATGTATATAGCTTTTGCTTTTATAAAGCTGTACACATACATTGTTGGAGGTTAGAATTGTAGTCATAGATAGCCATCAGAAAATTTATGTGGTATATTTTGCAGTTCTATAAAATGTTTCACTCTTTTTCTCAGTTGGGTTGGAATTGGTGAAGCTAAAATACATTTTAAACTACTGTTCCCTAAAAGCTTTTTAAAGGGGGGATAGCTGAATACTTGATTGGTCATTCAAGCTAATTCTGGATGTTGGTGTGATCTTCCAGAATCTAACACAGAGGGGGCTGGCCAGAGTGGGAGTACTTAGGGTAGGTGTCCACATTTCCACATAGCCTCAGGACCTCCCTAGAAACTTGAGTTTGTTTTTATTTAAGATATCTAGTTACCTGAGTGCTCAATTGTAGATTTGCCCTTACTTGCTTTCTTTCTGAACCCTGCAGAGTCCATGTTGAGAGCATGCTTCATACCTATTACATAGAGAAATTGTTTTACTGTTCAAAGAAGTGTAGTGTCTGAACCATTAGTAGAGATGCCATTATTCTTTTTAAAAACCATAAAAATAAAAGGAATCAGGATATATAGTCTCCTGGGCAACATTTGCTTCATCAGTTACTCAGCATGTTGCTTATGTTCTTCTCTCAAATGCAGTTGTAGGAATGCCAACTTACGACCCATGATTGCTAATGCTTATTGCCCATCCTGAACTACAGGCCCGTCCTACATGGGAAACCGAGTATTTTGGGTTATTTACTTATGGTAAAGTCCTGCTGACATTCTGTGTTTTGAAAACATTCTGGGCCGGACGCAGTGGTTCCTACCTATAATCCCAGCACTTTGGGAGACTGAGGCAGGTGGATCACTTGAGGTCAGGAGTTTGAGACCAGCCTGGACAACATGGTGAAACCCTGTCTCTAGTAAAAATACAAAAATTAGGCAGGTGTTGTGGTGTGTGCCTGCAATCAGCTACTTGGGAGGCTGAGGCGGGAGAATCGCTTGAACCCAGGAGGCGGAGGTTGCAGTGAGCCGAGATCAAGCCATTGCACTCCAGCCTGGGCAACAGAGCGAGACTCTGTCTTGGGCCGGTGGTGGGGGACCATTCTGGTAGAACACATGTATCTGTATCTTCTACATAAATACAGTTGGTGATTGCCAATTTAAACAAATATATAACTTTTAGGATTGTTCATATTTAATATATAGAATCAGATAATATCTTTTATCTTTAATTTGCAAATAAAAACTCATTTGGCCTGCAGGTACTATTCTGGATGTATAGCATACAGATTCATCAGCTCTTCCCTTTTAATGCACATGAGGCATTTTGCAGATTAGAATGAGCCTGCTGCAGGCCATGAGCTGTGTCCACCATGGACTCTTGTTTTATAATAGCAGTAAGAACACCCTGACTTCATAGCGTGACTGGCTTCTGAAGTATATTATCATGTGTCATTCTTACGTCATCCCTGTCAGAGATGGTTTGGATATGATTATAGCCTTAACGAAGGTGGGGAACTGTAGCTGCTGGAGACAGATTAGATTTGTTCAGGGTCACATGGTTGGTCAGTGGCAGAGATAGGACTGAATCTGGGTCATCACTGTCAACTGGGTGTATCTGCCAAGCCAGGAAGAGAATTCTTGCAAGATGGGTGTAGTCATTAGAGTTTTGAGGATATTTTGCCCTACTTTTTAAGTAAATCTTTTAGTATACTTTTAAATTTACAGAAGAGTTGCAGAGATAGTACAGAGTTTCCATACACCCAATGTCAAGTTTCCCCTGTTGTTAACATCTTATAGTATGGGACATTTGTCACAACTGATGAATCAATATGGATATGTTGACTTAAGTTCATAGTTTCTTTGGGTTTCTTTCATTTTTACTTTTCTTTTTTTGTTCCAGGATTTCATCCAGGATGTCATATTACCTTTAGCCATCATCTTCTTAGCTGTGACAGTTTTGAGAAGTACTGAATAGGCATTTTATAAATGTCCCTTAATTGAAATTTGTCTGATGTCTTTCTCATGCTTAGGCTTGGGTTATGGACTTTGGAAGGCAGACCACAGAAAGTGCCATTCTCATCTTGTCATATCAAGAGTACATATTTTCAGCTTATCTTATGCTTGTAGATACTGACCTCAGTCACCTGACTTAAATAGTGTTTGTAAGTTTCTCCACTATAAAGTTGCTCTTTTCCCTCCTTTCATATTGTACTCTTTCTAAGGAAGTTACTATGCTCAGCTCACACTAACCTAACAGGCGAATATCTATATAAATTATTTGAATTCTTCTAAATGGGATACTTGCCTCCTTCTTTAATCAAGCTGGCAAATCCTGCTCTACAATTCTTAATGTCTGAAAGAGTTGCATGGTAAGGTGTGAAATCTGGCAGGATGAGATGGAGTCATAGAAAGGTTAGGTTAGTTCATAGAAGTAGTTAAGAAAAGGTGGATGCTATGCCTCTATACTAGTGGAGGAAGGGACCAGAAGAAAATAAAGTAGCCCTCCACCAAGTGATTAATTACCCTTAGAGAGCCAGTGAAGTTTGTTGCAAAGTGGAGGACAGTGGAGTATGGTAGTAAATTCCAAATGTGAACTTCAGCGTAGACATTATAATTACAGAAAGGCAAGTAAACCTAGGAAGGGACATGATATCATTTCCCTCCCCCCAGGTACAAAAACTGCCATTTAACATGTCATTTTATTCCCAACGAAGGTCATGCAGGTATCTGTCTGTCGTTTTGAATTAGGTTGGGTTTTGTTTAACCTTTGAAATTGAGGCAGCTTTGAAAAAGTGAAGAGTTGGCCAGATGCAGTGGCTCATACCTGTAATCCCAGCACTTTGGGAGGCTGAGGTGGGAGAATCTATTGAGTTCAGGAGCTTGAGACCAGCCTGGGTAGCGTGGAAAACCCCATCTGTACAAAGAATACAAAAATTAACACGGTGTGGTGGCATGCGACTAGTCTGTACAGGCGCTTCAGGATCACTTCAGCCCAGGAGGCTGAGGCTGGAGGAGTGCTTCATCCTGGGAGGTTAAGACTGCACCACTGCATTCTAGCATGGGCAGCAGAGTGAGACCCTGTCTCATGATAAAATAAAAAATAAACGAGGAGTTTGGTTTACTGTATCTTCTGGGTACTCAATTTTGGACCATTCTGGTTCATACTCTGTATTTTCTCTTCTTCCTGCAGAACTCCATCCGGCACAACCTGTCACTGCATAGTCGATTCATGCGAGTCCAGAATGAGGGTACTGGCAAGAGCTCTTGGTGGATCATCAACCCTGACGGGGGGAAGAGCGGAAAGGCCCCCCGGCGGCGAGCAGTCTCCATGGACAACAGCAACAAGTATACCAAGAGCCGTGGCCGCGCAGCTAAGAAGAAGGCAGCCCTGCAGACAGCCCCTGAATCAGCTGACGACAGTCCCTCCCAGCTCTCCAAGTGGCCTGGCAGCCCCACGTCACGCAGCAGTGATGAGCTGGATGCGTGGACAGACTTCCGTTCACGCACCAATTCCAACGCCAGCACAGTCAGTGGCCGCCTGTCACCAATCATGGCAAGCACAGAGTTGGATGAAGTCCAAGATGACGATGCGCCTCTCTCACCCATGCTCTACAGCAGCTCAGCCAGCCTGTCACCTTCAGTAAGCAAGCCATGCACAGTGGAACTGCCACGGCTGACTGATATGACAGGCACCATGAATCTGAATGATGGGTTGACTGAAAACCTCATGGATGACCTGCTGGATAACATCACGCTCCCGCCATCCCAGCCATCGCCCACTGGGGGGCTCATGCAGCGGAGCTCTAGCTTCCCGTACACCACCAAGGGCTCAGGCCTGGGCTCCCCAACCAGCTCCTTTAACAGCACGGTGTTTGGACCTTCATCTCTGAACTCGTTGCGCCAGTCTCCCATGCAGACCATCCAAGAGAACAAACCAGCTACCTTCTCTTCCATGTCACACTATGGTAACCAGACACTCCAAGACCTGCTCACTTCGGACTCACTTAGCCACAGCGATGTCATGATGACACAGTCGGACCCCTTGATGTCTCAGGCCAGCACCGCTGTGTCTGCCCAGAATTCCCGCCGGAACGTGATGCTTCGCAATGACCCGATGATGTCCTTTGCTGCCCAGCCTAACCAGGGAAGTTTGGTCAATCAGAACTTGCTCCACCACCAGCACCAAACCCAGGGCGCTCTTGGTGGCAGCCGTGCCTTGTCGAATTCTGTCAGCAACATGGGCTTGAGTGAGTCCAGCAGCCTTGGGTCAGCCAAACACCAGCAGCAGTCTCCTGTCAGCCAGTCTATGCAAACCCTCTCGGACTCTCTCTCAGGCTCCTCCTTGTACTCAACTAGTGCAAACCTGCCCGTTATGGGCCATGAGAAGTTCCCCAGCGACTTGGACCTGGACATGTTCAATGGGAGCTTGGAATGTGACATGGAGTCCATTATCCGTAGTGAACTCATGGATGCTGATGGGTTGGATTTTAACTTTGATTCCCTCATCTCCACACAGAATGTTGTTGGTTTGAACGTGGGGAACTTCACTGGTGCTAAGCAGGCCTCATCTCAGAGCTGGGTGCCAGGCTGAAGGATCACTGAGGAAGGGGAAGTGGGCAAAGCAGGTCAGTGCCCAATGCTATGGCATAAAAATAACAATATGGGGATGAGGGGGGATCCCTGAGGGAGCCTGTCTTCTCTTTACTTTGAACTTTATTCGACACTGAGAACCATGGAGCAGTGGTGCACATAGCATGGCTCCCAGCCAGTTCCATCTCAGTGTTTTACCCACAAACCAAATAGGGCTGTTAGGTGCCCCTCCCCCCAACAGTTTGCTGATGGTTCAGAAATTTACTGCTAGTGAAAAGAACACGCACCCATTGAGAGATAGCATTCTTTTTTTTGCATCCGGTTGTCCTCACTGACCTGTGACACAGGTTGCCCTACTTGATGGGTGGATGAGAATAGAAGAGAAGGAGAGGCATGGGAAGCTTGGGTCATACATCAGAGTTAAGGATCCCAGCCAAAGGGCTTTCCTAGAAAGACCTCTGGTCCATCACTGCCTTTTGTCAATCTTCAGCGTTACAGTTTCTTCATCTTTTTTTCCTAGTAAAGTAATGATTTGCAGGTACTTCTAATTTACCTGCAGAATATGTATTCTAGACTCTTTCATATGTGAGTATTTCTAACAGAAGCAAAATCTGTTAATTATTCTTCATCTTAGTACTAAACATCTATATTGGCTGGCACTCGAGAGCTAAGCCTTTAAAAAAGTAAGAGGCCAGGCGCAGTGTCTCGTGCCTATAATGCAGAACTATGGGAGACTGAAGCAAGAATTGCTTGAGGCCAGGAGTCAGAGACCAGCATGGGCAATATAGCAAGACTCTGTCTGTACAGAAAATTAAGAAACTTAACTGGGCATGGTGGCACACATCTGTAGCACCAGCTTCTCAGGAGAATCCCTTGAGCCCCAGGAGTTTGAGGCTGCAGTGAGCTGTGGTCGTGCCACTGCACTCCATGCTAGGCAGTAGAGCAAGAACCTATTTCTTAGAAGAAAAAAAGGCCAAAAAATTACGTCAAAAACACAAGTGTTTGTCTGAGGGAGAACTTACTCATGTGCTTCTGCTTGTTCCCCAAACTATAAATGATGTCAGCAGTTTTCAAACATAGAATAACACAGGTTGTGAATAGTGATGCAAATTTTTTTAAATTGTGGCATTTTAATCTTCTTGGAACCAGAAAGATCAGGTGGTGTAATGCGGTAAGAAAAGCATTTGATTGAAATCAGGAATTGAGGTTCAGGCCCATTTCCACCACTTTCTTGCTACCACTATGGGGTGTGTCTTAGGTCTCCAAGTCTCAATTTCCAGTTTTATAAAATGAAGATAATAGCCCCTATTACTTCATAGGGTTATTAGAAGAATCAATTGCGCTAAAGCATGTGAAAGTGCTCTGAAAACTGCAGTGGGCTGAAATATGTACCATGCAACTAGGTGTACTGACAGATGGGCAGGCAGGTAGCCCAGAGAGGTTAAATAGTTTGCCCAAGGTTACAGAGCTAGATACATTTATTAACTGGCTTGAACCCCCATAGTAGTTCTTCCTTATCTCTCTAGCTGGTTAAAAAAAGGGGGGAAGGGGGAAGTTCTTTGAACTGGAATCAAAGTGGCAGATGATAGACAAGCTTTCCCTAAAAACTGTCCTCCTCAAGAAGTGAGACGAACACTGGGATCTTCTGCCAACAGGTTTGCACCCCTAGCCACCCCGATGTTAACGGGTTCTGTTCTGTGCCCAGCCCTTTTGTTCTGTTTTGTTTTAGTCTCAGCAAGCTACTTGCAGGCTTCTTTAAGTGGTGTAAAAAGCAAGGGAATTCAAAGCCATAAAAACTTGAGCCTTGTTTAACCCTCTGCCATGATGAAGGACTTACAAGGGTCTCCTATGGTGAGCTCACTCCAGCTCATGGGTAGTTGCTCAAAGGGGAATGTTAAGAGTGTTGTGATGCTAAAGCCTCTCAACTTTCTCAGGCATAAGGGACCCCTGATGGAACTCAGGTATCTGATTTCAGTCATTTAGTAGCCCTTGAGATGGTGAAAAGACTGTAATGGAAGCTAAGTAGGGTGACAGTATTTCCATGCCTGCCCAGTTCAGTGACATACCAGAACCTGGGCTGGTGGAGATTTGACTTTAGAACTGTAGATATTTGGCCTTTAGAAGACTAGTTTGTCTTCCTTTAAGGAGAAGATTATGAAAGATTTGTCCTTAGACTTTAGATATTTGAGTTTTAAAAGAATAAACGGTTTGTCTTCCTTTAAAAACAGGCTTTTAAAGACACAAGTAAGTTTTAATTTGGGTGTAATTGTGAGGAGGCCACTTTATAGTTCATTGGAAAAAAATGTGTTTAGAAGAAAATATATCAGTTTTTGTGTAATTTTTCAAATGTCGGTTTCCCTTTTGGTTGAGTAGCAGATCTTTTTCGTATATGTGTAATTCTAAAGGATTGTACAAAAAATTATTAAGGGAAATTTAAATACTTAGATGTTTAAAGTTTATCTGGTGAGCTACGATTATTGATGATAATAAATTACCATATTTTTGGTATAACGCATTTCATTACTGTAGCCTACTGGAGCCTTAGGGTTGCCTTTGCCTGAGAATATTTTGGGGGAGTTTGTTTTGAGAAGCTAAAAATGAAATGTCACCAAATTTTCCTGAAAGTAGACTAGCTCAGTATGACCACAGATCATTTAAAGAACCGTCCAAAGGACAGTGGGGGCTGTGAGGGGATCTGGTTTAGGATTTCCATTTTTGCCTTGGATTTCATCGTTCCCTTCAGCAGCCAGGAGCACATGCAACCTGAGGTGTATTTTTTACTTTTAAAGTTAACTGTGACTGTCACTTCATTGAAGACTCTCCTAAATTCACAGAACGGGGCTGAGGTCAGACTCTGACACTTCACTTCTCTCCAGTTAAGTGCCCCAGCTTCCCAGAGTTGCTCTCTAATAACTTTCTTGGTTTGATGACGACTTAGTGTTTCTCCAGACTGACTTCCTGGCTTGCTCACAGAAGGTCATGTGATGCTGAATCTGAGCCTTCTTGTGTTAATGGACAGTCTGCTCAGTTGACAGGCAGTCCTGCTGAGGAGCTGTGGCAAGATGCTTCTCTGGAGCGCTGGGTGTTTCGCACATGTCATTCATTTTAGACCACGTGTAGAATCCTCTGACCCTTAGATCTATCTTGAAAATAAAAAAATAGCCATACTCTTTTGGAGGGCTGGCTGCTGGGTTGTGAAGGGCATTGTCTTCTTTCAGGTGTTCATAAGGCTAGGTGCACATGCTTACAATTGGTGGCAGAAAGATGGCCAGGAGCTGGTGTGGTGGCTGCAAGCTCAAACTTCCAGTCAGCCCTCTTGAGTTCTGACATGTGTCCTCTCTGAGGGAAAGCAACTTCAGTCTCACCTTACATCTGATGTCAGAGATGCCTGCATTCACAAACTCCTTTATTCATCTTCACTTTTTTTGACATTTGGAGACACCATTAGAGATGGAGAGAGGAGGGGTAGTTCTCTTCTTGTCTCGGCCACTGGCCACATCACTCAGTCTCTTAGAACATTAGGTTTCTCATTTGTCAAAAGAAGACAGCCTCATCAAGTTTTAAACGTGCATAGTATGTATCATTTTAAACTTGAACCCTAACATCTTGTCTGTAAAATGGACCCGATGAGGTGCTATGTTATGATATGGAACTAGAAAGTTATAGTGGTGTACTAGTATGGAATCAGCAGGCTGCAGGAAGCCATTTAGAATTTATGCATAGGCTACTTCCCGAAAGGAGTAAATCTTTGATGCTTGTTTGACTGATGTTTAAATGCCACGATTCTAGTGTGTGTTTAAAATTTATGTTGGGGATAGGACTAATTCTAACCAAATACAGGTAATACAGACTATATTGTGTTTTTTATTGATGTAGATATTTCTGTTTTAGGGAATGTGACATCTGATAAATATGAATCTGTTGTGAATTACATGGAGAATATTCTCTGTTTTTGTACTTGTGACTGTAGTCTTTGGTTATTGTATGCTAGCCTGAAGAATTCTGCATCTGCAATGATCTTTAGTCTTATCTTTTTAAGAAAAGCTGAAAGTCTGAACTGTCATTCAGAGAGAGAATGTTGGGATCTTTTTAGTGTCAATAAGCACAAGAGAAAACTAATACGGCCATAAAAAGGGGTTTTCTTTGCAGAGGCTGGTACACTCACTACATACACTATTTTTTCCTGGAAAGCAGTGACATTTAGCATGAAGGCTACTCTTCCTGGGCCTGTTGGTTTTATAAAATGCACCTGTGTTCATCTCTGGCCAGCCTGCTAAGCATGGAGACAGAGCCTGAGTGCTCCTCCTTGAAGCAGTTGCATTTATAAACAGCTTCCTGGAAGGTCTCTTCTGTCCAGAGAGCTCAGGTAGAACATAAATAAACAGGGCGAAAATCACCAGAATTAGTACTTATAACTTAGAGTGTTCATAATGCTTAGCAGCATCTTGTAAACAACATTTTCTATCAGCAGTGTTTTCCCCCAGGGGCCACCTGTGCTTCTCACAGGCTTACCTTTCTATAAGGAAAAGGGAGAAGGGGGCTTGTTGGGTTCTACTTCTTTTCATCTATTATCTGCTGGGCACAAGGGACAGAAGTGGGTAAAAAGGGTCCCTCTCTTAAAGCATGCATGGCCTGGTGGGGAAAGTGGTGGCAGTGGTGATGACAGCTTGTTGTAGAGTCAAAGACTGCCTCACTCACAAGGTTGGAGCAAAGGAGCATGAGGTCTGGCAGCCTGATGTGCCTGGTTTTCTGGGACAACCTGCATTTAGGGGTTCTAGTCCATTGTCACATGGTCTGTTCCACAAAAACCTAGACCCTACGACTTCAGGAGCCCCATACTAACAGGTCAGAGTTCAGGCTGAATCCAGATGCTGGTTTCTTTTAAAAGTTCTCCAGAGCACTTTATGTTTGATTCCTAGAGCTGGTAAGTTCATCATGGTTGAGCAGAAGCTGCCTACTTCAGCACACAGTCCCTGGGGCTCTGCTCTGAGGGAGCTGTGGATTAAAGCCTTCCCTGCAGCCCACTCCAAGTTAA